ACAACTACAGCATCACCTCCAATAACACCAAAACCAATGATTATTCGTGAACCATTAAAATTTCAAATTGAATTACTTGATTATGCGGATCCATCATCGAAAACACAAGCTAATTCAATAAAAAAGTAATATTTTATTTTCAAAACTAAAATTAAAAAGAACAGATAGTCTATGATATTCTATTAAGATAGAAAAATGTTTGACTAATTGATAGCACATTAAGTAAAATACGGAAAAACCTCTGAAAACTTCGACTTATAGAATAATTTGTATGTCAATAATCGAAAATAGTACGATATAAAAGTATGTAAGATTTTTTTTTTGTGTAATTTATATTCTGATTTTCGAAGAAAAGTATAGTCAGAGTAAGTTTGAAGTTGAGGTTTTGCAGCTCGTCCATTTTCTCATAGCTACAGGAACGAGAGATCAATGATCATTGTATATAGTTACATCAGAATCAAAGACAAAAGACATGCAACTTCTTTCCAAGAGTTCCTTAGCAACGAACAAAAAAGTATACTGAAATATAATATTAATGATAATACTTAGCCTCTTCTAGAGTATTGTGAAAATCTTTCTCGAAAAATTGAAATGGTTGAAATATGTTTTTGAATGTTCTAATTAACGTAGCTTTTGATTTTTATACAGATAAAAATTTCTATGATTGATGTTAAGGATAATGCATAGTGATGCCTTGATTCATCACGGTCATCATATAATTAATAAAACAGCGTGTAGTTATTAAGTTATAACTTTGAAAAAAAAAATCAATATCACTAATTACAACTTTATTGCGATGTATACTCTTATGTTACGACCTACTGTAGTCATAACAGATATGTAAAAAGAGAAAAGTTTATTTACTAGTTAAATCAATAAAAGAAGAATATGAAAAAAGATAATGAACGAACAATAAAATTTATAGGATCATTAAAAAGAATTTTTGTTCAAAATACATAAATACAAGAGACAGATTGTTTCTCTGGTAATCGATTAACCTTGAAAAACAACTATAATCTGCTAAAGATTTTATGAGTTCTACATTTTAATTCCAAAAAAAGTTTCAATGACAAACTATGTTTTCTTTTTTGGTTTGAAAGAATAATAAAAGCATTAACTTGATCTTATATTATTTAGATTGTCTGATTTGGATAATCATGATCGTGAATTATTAGCTTTAGCAACTGCTAAAAATAATCTTGAATCATTTATTTATGATATGCGTGATAAACTTGAAAATGATTCAAAATATAAAAAAGCATCAACAACAGAAGAACAAACAAACATAAATGAAAAATTAACTGAAATTGATACATGGTTATGGGATGATGGTATTGATGCCGATGTTAAAGTATAAATATTCATATTATTTATTCTTTATTCTTTATATATATATTTTTTTTCTTTTGTTTTTATTCATTCAATAGACATTAAAATCAAAATTAGATGAATTAAAAACTTTAACCAAATCTTTAAAAATTCGTGTACGTGAAGTTGATTTACGTCCAAAAAAACTTAAAGAACTTAAAGATACTCTCAATGTAACTGAACATTTTCTTCAAGCAACACGTGATGTATTTGCAAAAACTGATAATGACGATAAACCATTTACCGAAGGAGAAATTAAATATTTAGAAAAAATTATTAAAGATACATATGTAAGTAATTATAAAAATAAAATCTTATGTATTTCATTGTGTGTTTTTTTTTCTTGACTTCTAAAATTTAAGATTTGGCGTGATCAAGTATTAGTTGAATTTTCAAAATTATTACCAACTGATACACCAAAATATTTATCAACTGATATTGATGAAAAAATTAATGCACTTAAACGTGAAACAAATTATTTACTTAGTAAAGCTCAACGATTTGTTCCGAAACCAAAGACCACAACAACAACAACAACAACACCAAAAGTACCGACTAATAATGAGAATAAAGTAGAAGATGATAAATCATCAACGTCTGAACCAGAAGAAACTAAAACTACGACAACATCAACTGAAGGTATTAAATTTAGTTTTTTGAAATTATTGAAAATAATTAAATAATTAATTTTTTGTTTTAGATAAACATAAAGAATTTTGAAAATTGATAATCAAATAGGGAAATTTGTTTTTTTGTTGTTTTCATCATTCCATCAACATTAATAGAACTGATAAAAATTAGTCAAATGCTTATATTACTATCTTTGTTGATCTGTTGTTTCTCCTTAAAAAAAAATTTTTGCTAATTAATAATAGCATTTTAAAATTTCTCTCATATGCATTGATTTGTTATCTCTTTCGATATTTTTTTTCATATATTCTTATATAATACATGTGCTTTCTTCAGTGGTGGATTTAGAATTTATATGGTGGGGGTGAGAGTGGAGGACAATAGTGATCATAAAACGTGTTTTGAAGCTCGTTATAGGTAGTATTAGCAGCTCATTTTTAAGCCTTTACTGCTATGAACAATCCAAAAGAATTTTTCGAAGAGAAGCAATCGCCTTCACCACCTGGACTCTAAATCCACCATTAATTTTCTGTTTTGTTTGTTTTCTTCTTATAAGTATATATGTATCTTGGTCTTATTCAAGTGAAAAAAATAAAATAAAACCAATGATGTGTATTAATATGTTTTAAATAAAATTAACGGCTTATAAAATCTTAATATAATGTAGTTGGATAATTGATAAAACCATTTATCTGTTATAGGTAGATAAATACTTAAAGATAACCGATTGGCTTTATTGTCAAGAGCATTCATGTTCTGTATAGATGGTTGTGTACCTCATGGTCGAGAACTAAGATCTCTAAATATTTTTCGTTCATCTATGTTCGTGAGTGTCGTTTCAGCAACAATTCTTTATGTTCACTTTTTCCGAATGTTTATTATATACGTAAATAACATCTATTCGACCAAGATGTGTGCATTATGACTTACCACCTGGTGCTTTAGTTACTACTAACTAAAGTTAGCTATTAATCTGGCAAATACTGTAATTAGTAAGTATGACTGCTATCAATGCATATAATATTAGAACGTTTCTAATATTATAGGTATTATCTAAAACTATTGCTCAGAGTTTCGGTCATTGAAATGAAGGTTGTCGAAAACAGGCATTGCAGATAATTATAGTGTAGAAATATAAATTACTGAATTTTGGCGATGTAACTATTGCTGAAGAACATACTAGCTGGCAATAATCTTAATTTATTCGATTGTCTATTTATACTATTGTCGTTCTTTCGGGAATTGATATTGCAGATGCATAATTTCTTAGTCAATATATTGTGATAGTTTTAACAACAAACAGGAAGAATCAATTAAGAAAATAGTAAATATATCTTGTGTATTAAAACGAATTTTCTTGTAATACTTTTTCTCTTATCATTTCTGATCTTGAATTTTTAGTTTGTGGTTAGATATCTAGAATATTGTCATCTGTAAAATTATAACAGACAGCTTATTAGAGTGTTATTACTGTTCAAGAAGCCGAATTAAATCACAAATAATTAACTAGCAAGCATTACACAAAACTTTTGTTTCAATAGATTATTTACAATCTTTTAAACTATTTCTCATTGTTTATTGTTGAAATTATCATAGTGAATTAACTAACAAAATATGCATCTTACATATAAACTCAAGAATAAATGACAATAGTCTAGATAGATAATTAAATAAATTAAGATTATGTCTTGTATTAGTCAAATAAATTTAAATGAATAATTGTCTTCACGTTTGTTTTATAAATATAAACTATAAACATTCTTCGATCAATAATGAAAGCATCATCTCATTAGATCAAAGTATATTGGAAATATTCAAGTTTTTCTCTGATGAGTGACCTTCTGAACACTTGGTAGGTACATATATATATATATAAATGAATATCTTAAAACAATTAATGAGGAACTTAATTCTGTATGCGAAGATGTGTTGCATTGTTGAATTCTATCATCCAATTATTTAGATTTTCTCTTCCAACATACATTCATTTTGAGAGCATTGGCGAGTGATTGTATTATTAAATTTGATATTATCATAAGGTGGAACATCATTTGAAAATAACTTTACAACACACATGCAAATTATCATCTTATTTTCGTAACGTTCTTATAGAAGAACACACTTCAAAGACAAAAATATTGATAATAATTCACAAACAATTTCACAGTATCGTTTAATTTATCATCTATATTTGAACTTTTTTTCAAATTTGTACAAATCTATACATGAAAACATTAACAAACGCAATATTACATATGAGTAGTCTGAACTTAACTATCGAAATCTCAATCTGAATAAAAATCGGTAATATCAAATCAATCAAATATAAGTAGGTAACATCATTATCACGCCCCACATGTAGAGGTTTCTACCTACAAAATTGCTTGATTATTGTAGTACAATGGATGTAACTACATTGAATGTCAAGTATCCTTTTTTTTTTTTCTTTACTTATATCACATGTTCGTTACAGACGAGTGATCGTTGCTAAAAATATATCGACACATTATTTGAGTAACACTTTACTTTGATTCTTGACTAATAGAATGTTGAATGACATATCTATAAAGGTTTTCTGTTTACATAACTCAATTGTTCTTGAATGAATAAAATTATTTCAATGAATTTGATAACCAATGAATAATTTATAATGTGCTATTTTTCTTCATAAATTGGATCATTAGACGTATCAATTTCTATTACTCATAAGCAAAAGGAGACGTAAATGAGAAAAAATTTTCTCTAATATATGTCAATCATTTTTTTTTGTTGCAACAATCTACCTACATTGAAATCATAAGGCATATCAGATAAATCATCGGTAGAACCTTGAGTAATAAATGTTGTACATGGTCACAGTCGAATGATATTTTTCTGTTGTTGTTGCTTTTTTCTGTGCACGGTCATTTACTTGTCTGTATAGGTGTGTGTGTGTGTATACAATAGATATTTCTTATATGTATATCTATACATATTAAAGTAATCGTTAAAATTGAAAGAAGATGTGGCCTGCTAATAATTACTGGGGACATCAAACAATGGAGGCCGATGGTAGAGCTCGAGCTATGCGTCCACTTGAGCTTCCATTAACTCATTTACCTTCTCGTGTGGATCTTCGTCGTTATATGACGCCTGTTGAAGATCAAGCTGATATGTCAACTTGGTAAATAAATCAGTAATAGTTTTCTAGTAAATTGTTTCTTTTCTTTGTCTTTCTATTTTAGTGCAGCTAATGCTTTTGCTGGTGCTTGTGAATATATTATTAAACGTCGTACTGGTAAACATGTTGATGTTTCACGTTTATTTATTTATTATAATGGTCAAATGATTGATCAACGAAGTCTTGAAGTAACTGATGATGGTGCTTCAAAACAAAATACTATTTTAGGAATGCGAAAATTTGGTATATGTGAAGAAAGTTTATGGCCATATGATGAACAATTACTTAATCAAGAACCTCCACCACATGTTTACGAAGCTGCAAGTCGTGTAACTGTTATTCCACTTAAAATTCCAAGAAATTTAGTTGCAATGAAAACATGTGTAGCTAATGAAATACCATTTTTAATTGGAGTTAGATTGTTAAAAACAGCAACAATGGAAGCTAAAACAAATCAGGGATATATATCAATGCCTGATCCTGCTTCTTCTACTGTTGCTCGAACTGGTTCACATGCTGTATTAATTGTTGGTTATGATGATCGAACAAGACATTTTCTTGCACGAAATTCATGGGGAAGAGATTGGGTAAAAAGAACAAATTTTTCAATTAAAAAAAAAGAAAACAAATATTCATCATACGCTAATTGTTGTTTCTTTTTCGTAGGGTGTTCATGGCTACTTTTATATTCCATATGAATATTTATTAGAAAAACGTCTTGTTAATTATTTGGATGGTTTATGGGCTATTACTGATATAATACCTCGATCACATCATAAACCAACTGTACGTCGATTGGTAGTACCTGGTCATAACTATGATGCAAAACGGAGAAAAGATAAACATCGACATCAAATGAGTTTGTTAGAAAAATCACTGATGACGATGCAATTAATTCCTAATCAAAAGTTTTCACATCTTCAATCATTAATGTCTATAGTAAAACGTAGTCGTAGACATTCTTCGTTTTATTAAGAACTAATTTAAATTATGAGCATTTTATTGATTTTCGTTTGTTGACAATTGACTTAATTTTTTTTATAAAAAAAAAAAACAAGTTATTTGAATCTTATCCTTCATCAATGAATAACTTGTGTATTTTTATCTTTTGTTTTATGCTAATTTTTTTATTAAACTAAATATTAGCATTAAATAAAAAAAAATATTAACGATGAATTTTAATTACTTTAATCTTTTCAATGACATTTGATGCAAGATAAATATTCATGTTCTTGATCGTTTCAATATTCGAGATGATATTTGTCGACTACGATCAATGAACGAATTATTAATTCTGTAAATAATATCAGCAAAAAATTGTAATAATGTTATTGTGCATGTATCATAGGAATTATTTTCTTCCAATCTTTTGTTTAATTCAGTTGTTAAGGGATGTGGATAATAAACGGTAGAAAGATTTGATGATGACTTCGGGTTTGATTGGTAATGAATAGACCTATGTTGTGACATGATTTATAAGTGTAATGAAATAAAATAGTTGTACTTTTTATATGAAAAAGAAGTCGAAAAGGAAGAAAATTTTGTTGTAATTTTTTTTCTTCCTTGAGACACCTGAGTAATGTGTAACCGAAGCAAAATGCCGTCCATGTCATAATAATTATTATGACTTTTTGTGCAATTTGATTGATTATTGACAATCATAATAAATTTTTAGTAAGTTTTAAAAAATTAAAATTCATCATGAAGACTACAGAAACACGAAAAAATTCAGGGGCATTTTTTTTCAAATCATAAGAAAAAAAATGAAATTCAGGTTGTAAAACTTAAGAATGAGTTATCATTTGAATATTATTGACAAAATTATGATTGATTATCGCATTTCAAAAATGTGAAGTTTAAGATATTTTTATAGTGCATCATCATTAAGTACGATTACAAGGATGGTTATTATAGTACTGTATACCTTTTTCTACGAATAATATTTTGTCATAATACAGGGACCAATTTGTATATTATTACATAGTGATTGGTAGCTCACAAAAAATACAACGTGGATATTGTTTTCAATAACATTTGAAGTTTAGAAAAAAGTTCCAGTGAATCGGTTTAATTTGTTGATAGTTTTGAATAAAAACTGTTTGTAATTAAATAAAAACTAATTTTTTTTCTGTTTTAGTAGTATTGACTTGTCGTAACGCTCTTCCAATTATCCTTTTCGCTGTTGTGCAATTTATAAACACATATGACGCTTCAATTTCGATTATATCTTCATCAAACAATAGCGAAATGTGCATAGTAAACAGTATATGAGTAGTAAATTGCATTTATATGCTCTCTTTGCTCTTTCTCGCTTTCTTTTCTAATAGTACATTGGGAAACAATACGAAAATATTGAATGATGATTCATTTTTTCAATCTTCTTTTTACTGTCGATCAGAAAAAATAATGAGAACGAGAAAAGTAAACATTTTATGTAATTTAGTAGTCATGTATTATTCAGTACACACGTGTTGCTATTGTTTGATAAAGACTTCGTCCAAGTAGAAACGTTACATTTTTCACTAAACTGAACAAAATAAGGAAAAACAAGATTACGGAAACATAATATCGACGTTTTGTTAATGTATTCTTCACATAGATTGTCTTTTTGAAACCAGAAGATAAAGAAAAACTAACAATCAATTACAAGCAGAACAAAGAAAAAATAATGACGGAATTAATAGTCTAATTAGTGTAGACTTATCATTAAAATAATTAAGTTTATGATTGCTTTAAATACCAAGACAACAATATAATAACTGTTTTTTTTTTAATGTCGATACTAATATCTATTAATGCCTACAACATATTTTTATTCTTTCTACTTAAACATATGCTAAAATCGTTATCGAAAAGTCTTCAAAATATAATGAGTTTTAAGCAAGATCTAACAATGTTAATTGGTCAAAAACATTCGAGACAGACTTTTTGTCTTAGCTTTCTAATTTACTTATTATATATTTTAGAAACAAATATTTCTTTTTCTGAGTGATTTCAGGAAAGCGAGACACTTATTTTTGATTTGACTTTAAACTTATTCGTTAAAAAAAAAATAGTGAATAAGTTTCTCATTAAATGAGAGAAAATCAAATAATTTAAGAGTACACTCTATGCCATGAATGGTTTCTTTTGTTTTTCTATTATCGGAGCTCCTCAAGAAAGTTTTGTGCTATTTAACGTTGGTTTTGAATTTTTCATTTGTATGTTCGTAGTTTGACATGGCACTAACTGAAAGTCAATAGAGTTTTTTTGAAAAGCGTTAGCTTATTCAGAAAAAAAACTTAATATTAGAAGTTTGGTAGAACCAACAGTCGTCTACAGAATGTATAACCCAGTTTTCGAAAATGCTGTACGAATTCTAAGATCTTTTTTAGTTGAAATGCACAACATGATAACTGACATTTGGTTTTGAGTGATGTCGATAACGCTACTTTTTACTGATAATTCATGTCAAAAAGCATTATAGATTTAAGCTTTAGAAAGTACCTATACTGACTCAACATGCAAATGACATTTTAAAATTAGCTTTAGCAAAGTTCAGATTTTAGAGACATACAAATTTCAATTCAACGAAGTCACATCATTACTAAATGAAATTATCTATTGACCAGTGCATAAACTAAATCCAGAAAAAAGAAAAAAAAAATTCTAATGCGTTATTTCGACTATAGCTTGATGGCGAACTTGGTTTTGGTTAATTAAGGAAAAATGTCCCCAAAGCAGAATCGGTGGACAGAGATAGGCTTTTACGATTGAACCTTAAGGTATGTTGATTGAAGCATAGAGCAATTAATATGTACAAGTCAATACTTCACTTCCATTCTTATTTATTCGTTTTATTCCAAAATGATAACTTTTGAAGATTATACTATTTACCAAATTGTGTGATAGCTGTAGAAAAGCTATATAGTAAATGTCCCTAATAATGACACTAAAATAATAACATGTCTTGATTGATTCTGTTCACAACTATTTTACACTCGATTGAACCTATTTTTACACATGTATAATCCTGAGAGTATCCTCTTGCAAATGATGTAACAACCACTTTTCGCTGAAATACAGTGGTAGAGAAACCAGCGGTCTGTGATAATGATCTGCTTCTGTTGTTGTTAGGGTTCATTTCCTTATTGACGACAGTCAGCTAATTTTTGACCCTAATCATGATACCCAGTTATTTATTCATCCAAAAAACAACACTCAACTAGCTTTTGATTCCAATAAAGATACATCATCATAAATACAATTTAAGAAAATCATTTCATAAGTAACACATGTATTTAGAACCCTTACATACAATTCACGGCAAACTTAACAAACAATTTTGTTTATCTTATTCGAATCATTTGCTTCTCAATCGTTTATAAAACTAATTCTCTTTTATTAATATACATGCAGTATGTAAAACAATCTGCTCTTACCATTAATGAAATCGTTGCAAAGAACAATAATGTTTATAAATGATCGTGTTTCATAAAAGATTATCATCCATTCTGTCATTTCATGAATTCTACTCTCATACGCGAAAAAATTTTAAACATATACATCTGTTTGATCTTATAAAATGTTATCTGCAAAAGAATAGTTTAAAACAAAAGCGATCTGGATACGACCTGCAAAATTGGACGTGAGGTTTGTTGCGAATTATATGTAAGGGTTCTAAATACATGTATTACTTATGAATAGATTCTCTTAAACTGTATCTGTAATGATGTATCTCTATTGGAGTGGGTGTGGGTGTGTGGGGTGCGGATGTTGGTGTTCTCTTCGTCTACACTCACACTCTGAATCCACTGCTGGAACTAAAGTGATTCATTTTTCCATAGTGATGTGTTCAGTTAGTTTATAGAATAAATCAGTTCAAGCGATAGATTCAGACAGAAGATTTCTGTAAAATTAAACGTTCATCGAATAGCTACAAGTCCCTGAGAAAATGTACGAGAAAAAGGGTTTTTTATTAAGTGTGGATAACTTTTCAGAAAATTTGTATGATAATGTTAATCGAAGGAAGGTACTTTATCAAAAATAGTATTGTATTTTATTTTTAGAGAAGTTCATAGTGACTCTCTGAGTACAAATATTTAATTTTCATGTATTAGTTGAGCATAAATTATTTTCTAAACACTAGAACCGCCATTTAACCTCAACCACCCAATATAGTTGATCAGTAATAGGTTTTAATAGGAAGAAAAATACGATTTCTATTCGTATTCTTTGCACTATCGTTTGCCTTGTATTCATATTTTAGGCCATTGGAAGTTCACGTTTAGTTGAAAAAAACTGTTGTACGATTCTTTTGATAAAAGCTAATTGATGAACCAGCTTCTGCATAGGCAAAGAACTGTTTGTAAAGGGCGTGGGTGTGGGTGGGTGTGGGTGTGGGTGTGGGTGTGGGGTGGGGGTCGGGGTGTGCGGTGTGGGTGTGGGTGGCATGTGAAAGAAGATTCACACCCGCACCCACATCCACACCCACACGTACACCCACACCCCACACCCACATCTACAACCACACACCACCCACACCCACACCCATACCCATACCCACCCACACTCACACCCACACCCCACACTCACACCCACACCCATACCCACCCACACCCACACCCCACACCCACACCCACAGAAAAACGCAGACAAAAACTATTGCTAGATGGTTTCAAAACTGTTCATTATCATTTCTTTCCACTAGTTATTTCACTGCTGCTATAGTTTAGGCACATGGTCTCGTTAATTAGCTCATTCTAAGCATCAATCAGTGTGTGTGTGAGGATGAGAGTGTGCTTAAACTGCCAGTTATACTCCAAATTAATCTTTTTTCTTACACTTCGGCTACAGGCAAGTAAATTGTCATTGCTGTTCCAATATTTCATTTAATAAGTAGCAAATTATTAATTTCATCTGTACCCAGACGTATTCCTCGATCGATATTGTACTGCCAATTATATATATTAAAAGATATCGGCACGGCCAGCCAT